AAAGTTTCTAACTTTTAACCAGTAAATACAAAGTATTACCATTTGTTGTGATTTTTGATGTTTGGAATTATGTTCATTTTCTTACTTCTTTTTTCTATTTCTCATGTTTTCTAGTTTGTTGTCCTCTTGCTCACCTTTAATTGAAGAGATAGATTTTTCATAGTTCAATTTTTTCTATTTTACAAATGTATTGTTATTATTTTTTGTGGTAACTGAAACATTGTTAACATAAATGTTCAAGTGAATTTTTCTATAATCTAGAATTAATCAGTATCTCATCCCTGAGAACAAAAAAAAAGAGGTTTAGAATACTTTTATTTTCCTCTGTTCCCTTGCAACTCTCATCTTGGAACCCTTTCTGATATTATTTTCAATTTTATATCCACATAGGTATATTTTTAAAATTATGTAAATTTATGTAAAATAAACATTTTAGACTTACTATCTTCTTTTTTAAACTATCTATCTATTTATTTATTTATTTATTTATTTATTTATTTTTAACTATTATTTTAAGTTCCGGGGGTACACGTGCAGGTTTGTTACACATGGAGACTTACTACTTTCTTTGCTGTCCATCGCTTCTTTTATTTCATTCCCTCCTCCTGGACTTCTTATTGTTAGTGGTTTATATTGTCTAGCAATTCTTTCAAAGAGGATCTTGAGGTAATTAACTTCAAAGTTTCTTCCAATTTAAAAAATATCTTTATGCTTCTCTCTTGAACAGTGGCTTGGCTGGGTGTAGAATTCTGTCTTCAAAGTTATTTTCTCTTAGAATGTTGAGAATCTCATTCTACTGCCTTCTTGTACCCTGGGTTGCTTGCAAAGAATCTGACGTCAATCTGATTCTGATTTCTTCGTCAGTATGTTTCTTTTTACTCTGATAGCTTTTAAGATTTATCTCTTTATTCTCTATTTTCACAGATTTCATCAAAGTATATGTGTACGTGCACGTGTGTGTGTGTGTGTGTGTGTGTGTGTGTGTGTGTGTGATCTTTAGTCTCTCCTACAGTCAGGAGAATTTTTAAAGTTTTGAGAAAATTTTCTGTAATATTTCTTTAAATGCTACCTTTCCCCCGATTTTCCTGATTTCTGCCTTCTGGAAGTACTTTTAAACAGACTTCAGAACTTCTGTATCATCCATGCATCAGGACTTTTCTACTTCCCATGTCTTCATTCCTACTCCCAATACCTAGCTTTGGGCTGTGGTACCCATCATCAATCTGTTCTTTATATACTTTTGCTTTCAAGGAATTTCTCACAGTCTCTAGTCCATCGCAGTTTACTCTTCTTCTTTTTTCCAGTTATTTTAAGCAATCTCTTCTATTGTGTCTAGGAATTTGGTGCGAAGGATGTACTTGAGAGTGTTAGGTGAAAACAGTGCTCAGTTTGACAACTTAAATCCATTTTCAAGTTTTGAAATATTTGCCAATAACATTCATCAGCTGTGACACTGATGAGACCAGTTTGGGGTTTGACAAGGCAGGAAAATCAGAAGAATTGAATGATGAACTTGAGATGCTAATGAGTCTCACATTTCGAAAGGTGAACTGCGAGGTTTAGCCATAGTGGAAGTCAACACATGGAGACTTTTGAATAAAGAAAAACTGTAGGACCAAAGGTCACAATAGTGAGTCCAGTGATAGTGATAATTGAATAGTTGCCAAGATACGAACCTCTTTATGGAAAAGGAGATTCAGGGATTGAGGCTTGTAAGTGGAAAAAACCCTAGTACTGAGGGGATCTAAGGGATGGTTGATCACTGGGGGCTTACTGATGTGGCTTTGGGTTACGTAGGAGAAGAGATCAAACAATCCTGAGCCCTGAACAGTAAAAAGACCTCTTTTATAGAAGCTGATGTGTCATTTGTGGAAAATAATAAAGTTCACTTGAAAATTGCTATTCATAAAAGTTGTATTGTAAAGACTATTTGCAATTTAGCCGATATAACATATCAGTAGAAAAATCAGTGTGTGTTTCCTTGTATGGAGTGTTTGATTTTCTTTTAAGTTCAGGGGTACATGTGGATGTTTGTTACACAGGTAAATGAGTGTCATGGGGTCTGGATGGACAGATTATTTACACTTAGGTATTAAGCCAATACTCATTACTTATTTTTCCTGGTCTCCTTTCTGCCTCCCTCCACCCTTCGATAGGCCCCAGTGTTTGTTGTTCTCCTCTGTGTGTCCATGTGTTCTCATCATTTAGCTCCCACTATTAGTAAAAACATGCAGTATTTGTTTTTCTGTTCCTAAGTTTGCTAAGAATAATGGCCTCCAGCTCCATCCATGTTCCTGCAAAGGACATGATCTCATTCTTATTTATGGCTGCATAGTATTCCATGTTGTATATGTACCATATTTTCTTTATTCAGTCTATCATTGATGGGCATTTGGGTTGATTCAGTGTCTTTGCTATTATGAAAACTGCTGCAGTGAACATATACCTGAATGTGTCTTTATAAGAGAAAAATTTATATTCTGTTGGGTATATACCCAGTAATGGAATTGCTGGGTCAAATGATATTTCTGTCTTTAGGTCTCTGAGGAATCACCACACTGTCTTCCACAATGGCTGAACTAATTTACAATGCCATCAACAGTATATAAACCTTCCTTTTTATCCACAACCTCAGCAGTATTTGTTACTTTTTGGCTTTTTATTAATGGCCATTCTGACTGATACCAGATGGTATCTCACTCACTATGGTTTTGATTTGCATTTCTCTTAGTGGTCAGTGACGTTGAGCATTTTCCATATGCTTGTTATCGGAGTGTTTGACTTTATACTAATTCTTCACATGATGAAGCAAAGTGTAGCTCCTTTTTTTTCTATTTTTCAAGGTCATAGATTTTGCGATGCTCTTCATATATGGTTAGCTCTGCGACTTAAACCTCTTTGGTTCACATGTACACATTCCTTAAGTTGAGATAGCTTACCTCTGTACTCGGAGCAACTTAAGGTTAAATATTTTTCCAGCTATTGTAGAATACTATTGTCTGAAGAAATAGGCCTTATTTCTTTAGTTACAATACATTTCCCTGTAGTCTGTGGCCATATTGTTGTTCAAAGAGACGTGATTATTGAAATAAATGTCAGTGGCTCAAAATTACATGTGCTTCAATTTGTATTGGAATTAAAGTGAATATCAGGGGGTTGCAAAGTAATGAACACAATATACAGAAAGAAAATGTTAAAATCTCTGTCCTCAGACATTGAACACTTCATTATTTCTTATAAAATTTCAGTACGCCAACACTTAGGGTCTAACATTGCAACGTATTTGCAGTTTGATATAACTCTTTATTGACAGTTTAAAAATAGAGATGGACTAGCTTTGCTAGCACATACAATTGAGTTGAAACAAACAGGTGGAGGAAAATGAAAGAGTAACTAGTGACTTAGAAAGGTTAACTAGTCCTTGGATAGCAAGTGGAAGAGTTATCTTTGGAATTCAAATGGATTGGCAACTATAGATAAAAAATAAGCGAACTGGTCAGCCTGAAGATATTTAAACTGTAAATTGGAAAAAATAAAAGTCTTAACGTGTCAAGAATAGGAGGAATTACAATTGGTTAAAGCTACTGCATTATACCTGAGACTAGAGTATAGGTATGAGGAAGTGTTCAAGAAATCCATGATTTTATCATCTTTATAAGCAGAAACAAGTGCTAAATAGATTTAAGTACTGCATGAAACAAGGCTTCACATGCTGAAAAAATTGTTTTGTTTTACTGCCACTTATAATAATGCTGGTAATAGTCATATTTGGTCGGGCACTTGCTGTATACCTAGCACAGTGCTACTCAGCTTCTTAACATTATCTCTGATCATTTACACAACCTGGTGGATAAACATGCTGAGATTCTTTTTATAGGATTAGAAGAACTGGCAAACTAAGTCAACATCTGGTGAAATTTAACAAAATTAACAAATCATATGAATAATTTGGGCCAAAAAATTCTTGTAAGATATTCTGCATTAGCAGTGGATGGTGGTAGACATGAGAAGATATGGGTTATAGTTTTATTTCTTTGTAATTTTTTTTTACAATTTTTTAAGTTCTACTGTGTTCGTTTTGCCATTTTCCATTTTTAAAAACAGTAAGAATGAGAATGACTGACAAAGGAACAAATTAGTCCTGTTGCTGGTTCTGGTTTATAAAGACTTGCATGTCAACAAGATTTATAAAGAAATTATACCAACAGTGAAATAAGTAGCAACCTTTACCAAAATGAAGTTGCTGATCTTTTGCTGATGAGTCACAACTAATGATCAGCATATTCAAGGTGATTAAGTTACATGAAGAAAACTATCTATAAAATCTTAGCTCCGTACTGCTGGTGACATGATTAGCTTTTCAAAATTATTTGATTAGGACACACTTTGCTAAGTAAGAGTATAGAAGCATTGTATTAAGTACTTTAAAATACATATGTTATTTTTGTACTGTGTTATTAGCTAAACCTCATTTTGTACTTTGCTGTTACACCTTGAATATCATGCATGTAGAAGAGCAAAGTAATTTTTTCTTTTGAAAGGCTGTTACTCTTACAGATATAATTTTAACATCAACACAGATATAACAACAAAGAACGATTATCTGTTAAAAGGGAAGAATAAAGAATATAGCCAAAATAATTATGCAAGATGTCTGTAACTTAAACCAAAGAAAAGAGCATTTTCTTAATTATATTTGTCAAAATTCAAGTAAAACAGTAATTTTAATCTCCCTTGAGTTCAAATATACATTCAGGGTTCTTCTCATAAAAAATTAAGTGTGAAAATGGAATTAGACATTTTTTTTTCAATTGTAAATACTGTATAGAGCATAAAGGCCACAGGGTTTATAATTTCTGTAAATAATTACTCTTGTCACTGAGGAGAAGTAGGTATTTGAAATAAAAGCAATGAATCAGGGATTAACAGTCCTCTGAAGAACGTATTATTTTCCCTTTCCCTGGTTCAGTGTGAGTTTTTTTGTTTGTTTGTTTCCACAGAGTATCTGCACAACCACCACTGCATTTTTGCACTTTTTCTTCCTGGCTTCATTCTGTTGGGTTTTGACTGAGGCGTGGCAATCATATATGGCTGTAACTGGAAAAATTAGGACACGGCTTATAAGAAAACGCTTTTTGTGCCTTGGATGGGGTAAGCATATTGATATACCCTTTCGTGCTCTTCTCAAAATGACTCTGAACACATATTATAAAGTAGTCAAGAGTGATTAGACACAGGCTACTTTGTGTCTAATTTAATCTGTGGAAGTGAAAATACATGAGCTGGTCAATTTTGAACATTCGTTGGTCATTTGGAACTTTAAAAGGAAGTAAGTATTGAATGCTCATTTAGCTAGTCAGTTAACATTCAACAGTGCCTAGATAGTATGAGATGAGACCCGAGATACCTACACACAGAAAAACAGTGCTCTCTGTTAACATTTTCTGAAAGTGCAAAATACCTTAAAATTTTCAAAGCCTAATGTGTGATGGTTCACTAGGCATGTACTCCCACCAAGAAAACTTAGAGGACTTCATTTCAAGAAATCTCAAAACAATTAAAGAATAAAGTAATTCATTTCACAGGAAGAACACCATTTAGAGAAGTAATGAAACTTCACAGCTAGTCAACGTGATCCTCAAAAGTAGAAACAATTGCTCACAGACTGATAATTAATTTTTCACTTGTGCTTATTAAGAAATTTCTCTCAAATTGCCTCATGACCTAGACATCTCAAAGATCTATATTATAGAGCCAGTTCTACTGATAGTCTAGTTAATTTAAGAAGCTACTTTTAGAAAAAGCCCAAATATACAATAATATCTACTGTATTAGAAGACTGGCATATGGGAAGCTGAGAGGAACCTGGGAAATTACAAATAAGTGTACTTATAACAATTCCAGAAAAATTTAGGCTGGAAAAATATGATCAAGAACACTTAAATATTATTCATTAGGTTTCAGCAAGGTCTGTTATGTCTAATTAACATATTAGGACTTTATATGCAGACAAATGGAAAAGCAGTTAAAAAGTTGAAGAGTAGGCCAGACATGGTGGCTCACGCTTGTAATCTTAGCACTTTGGGAAGCCGAGGCGGGTGGACTGCCTGAGTGCAGGAGTTCGAGATTAGCCTGAGCAACATTGCAAAACCCCATCTCTACCAAAATTGCAAAAAATTAGCCAGGAGTGATGGCACATACCTGTATTCCCAGCTATCAGGAGGCTAAGGTGGGAGGACTTCATGAGCCTGGGAAGTGGAGGTTGCAGTGAGCCAAGATGACACCACAACACTCCAACCTGTGTGGCAGAGTAAGACCCTATCTCACACAAACACAAAAGTTGAAGACTTTGTTCCACTTAGAATTTCATCAAATTTTTGTCTAAATTTCATGACAAAGGCCTTCTAAAGTTGAAGTAGTGTTTAAATCAAGAGACACTTTTGCCATGAATTAGTACTATTCTAAGAAATACAGAATACAGGTAAAAGAACACATTTTTTGATGAAGAATAAAACATGGTGATTTTCAGGATTGGTGACTACCTTGTTTAAAATTATTACTAAAGATTTTGAGGAGAGGGTTCACCAACAATCTCCAAATTTACAGCTAATATTTAAACTACTCTAGGTAGCAAAAACCTAAACTGATGGTGCTAAAGTATCAGAAAGTTTATGGGATGGCAGAATAGTGGTGTATGTGTTTCATCATGAACAAGTGCAACATAATGAGTCTAGACAAAATTTAATCTAAATTGTATGAAATACATACTATTAATTCTTCAGTTATAACCCATGAGGGATTTTTTTCCCTAATGAACTTGGTCCAACCAAAAAAATCAACAAATGACATGTGTGAAGGAAGAGGAGGAGGAGGAGGAACAAGAAGAGGAGAAACAGAAGGAGGAAAAGGAGGAGGAGGAAAGGGAGGATAAGGATGAGGAGGGGACTATATATTTACAATTTTATATACATATATGTATATGAAATTATATATAGTCACCAGTGTTCATTTAACACTATGGTGTGTCCCTCTGAGATGTTTTCCATAGTTCTTGTCATTAAATATCATGAAGGAATGTGATGTCACTAGAGAAGGCTCACAGAAGAAGGAGAATAGCATCAAGTATGTGAACTGACAGTAAGAAAGAAGATGGGCAGAGGAGATACAGGAAGATGATTAGAAGACGGATTTTTCAACCAGAAAAGGCAAACATGATCTTCCTGAAAAGAAGGCATAACCAAAACTTAAAAAAAAAAATCTTTAAACAGCGTAGATTAGAGACTCTACCAAAACACAGGGAGGTTCCATTGAACTTGAATGAGGTAAGTGTAATTCCCATAAATGTAAACTAAAAGAAGATGCTAGCTCAGAATTGGTACAGGTATGTAGGTAATTGAACTCTCTGTTTCTACATTCTTGTTATTATAAGCAAATTATAAAGAAAGCGTTAACTGATAAGATTTATGTTTTTTTGTATCTTATGATAAGTACAACTTGATGTGGATCAGTATGTGGCCAATGGAATGTTCCACTTCTCTGATATTACATCACACCAGAACATCCAGTTTTTGCCTTTCTGATTTTATAACTATAAATTTCCTTTATAACAGTGTAAACCCCTAGGGAAAAAAATGACTTAAAAAATGTACTAAATCTCTGTTATTACTTCCATTTAAACCCATGTCAAATGTGGTGGTAACCTAGCAACAACAGAGAAGTGCAGTAAGTTAAAAGCTCAGCTACCTCTCTCATATTTTTAAACTTGAAAGAAATTTTGTAATAGAAACGTACCTTGTGAAGTGACTCATCCAAAGATAGTTTCTCTGATTTAAGCATCTGGAGTCTGGTCTGGCTTTTCTTAGGCCAGTATGCATAGTGGTTATAGCTAAATATGAATGCGTGACATTGCTTTTCTTGCAGGTTTACCAGCATTAGTAGTGGCCACATCGGTAGGCTTCACCAGAACAAAAGGATATGGCACTGATCACTAGTAAGTCCATCTACAGTGATAAATCATGTTTATAATTTAACAAATCATCAAAGAGTCTTGGTTGGCACTGCTGATGGCTTGCATTTTATCATGGAAACATTAACAATGGTAGAAATTGCATTAGTAAGGAACAAAACAAGGTAGCTTAAATCTACAAAGGTTAAGAAGTAAGTGGTGTGGCACTGTTCAGAATCTTTGTTTCAGTTTCCCATTTCTTAATAAGACCAGCATATTTGGCTTTTAAAATATTTCAATATTTATTGTGCATGCCCAATCTCAAATAAATTGAGAACTGGATAAGTCTTGACATACTTACTTTTTAGAATGTGATACTGCTATGAGCTTCTAATTCCATTAATGATAATGTATATTGTTATTAACCAAATTTTGTCATGTTAGTTCAAGTTTTGTTACTACGTTAGGGCAATGCATACTAACAATTATAGATCAAGGGAACCAATGGATTTTACATTAGAAAATACTTGGACTATGCAAGAAATTAAAAGGGAGAAAAGTTATATGATATCAACTTATTTTATAGTGGTAGTGCTGATAAATTCTATGAGAGAATTTGTGGTAAAGTTTAAATTTAACATTTTAAATCTAAACAATGTACTTTCATGTTTTATTTTATCTGCTTCCAAGTTGAGGAGGCAATTAAGAAGTGGGGAAAGAGATGCACATCTTATTAAAAGCATATGTTTTAAAGCATGATGTTCTGTTTAATTATTTTGGGTTTGAGGTAGGAATCACTGCTAATTAGGCCCTCTGGTAGGTTCGTACAAATTGTAAACATACTGAGAGATATTATTTCACCTGTTTATCGTAAAGAAACTTCTGAAAAGTTTAAGAAGCTCGTGTCATCAGAGCATTTTTATGCAATCTATATTATTTTTTAAAATTCTGATAGCATAGATGGCAGAGTACTGGTTACTACAGCACTATCACCTTAATTTATTACCTTTTACAATAGCATCATTATTGGTATACATCTATTTTTGGAAAGTCACTGTATTGGGAATATGGGAATAAGCAAGATTATATATATGATGATTCCTACTTTCAAAGAGTTTATAATTAAAGTGCAATACAATACAATAAGTAATGCATTTATTTTATAACTATAAATTTTTATAACAGTGTAAACTCCTAGGGAAAAAAAAAAGATATACTGAATCTCTATTAGTATATCTTGAAAGATATACTAAACCTCAGTTTGAAGATTAGTGTACACAAAATTACAGTGAGGATTTAGTGGCAGAGATTAATTTACACAAACATACAGTGGGAATTTAGTGGCAGTCTTAGAGACACAATCTAAAGTATTCTGTGAGACTAAGGTTTTTTCTCCAGGTATATTATTTAAAAATAGATATTAAAATGGAAAAGTACATTTTTATCTTTCTGCTGTTATGTCGAGGAACAATAACTAAATGCAGACTTTGAATATACATACACATATTTGTATATATATATGATAATATAGTATTTCTTTCTGTACATATATAATTAATTACCAGGTAAATATGTTTAAGGTATAATTTACATAGAGTAACATTTACCCTATTAAGTGTATAGTTCTGTGAGTTTTGAGAAATACGTAAGTCATGTAACCACCATCACAATTAATATAGAGCAGTTTATTGTTAGAACAGATACAGAGCAGTTACTGTTCATTGTTATTACTTTTAAAGGCAGCAGGCTGATTCTGTAAACTGAGAAGAAATAGTGCAAGGGTCAAACGTCAAAAAACAGGTGCATGAAATGGTGGCCGTGACTCTTTGCATCAGCAGCCCCTCACGCTTCCCTCATTTTCACTTTCCTGGATTCTGCATGGGCAGATGTGCCACCCTGCAAAGCCTCCAGTGTCAGCCCCATTCCCTCTGCATTTCCCTCTGTTGTGAGAGACTGTTTCTTCCCAAATCGATTATCTTGTCTCTATCAATGCAAACCTGTATCTCTTGGTGAATTTAGTCATTGAAACAAACACAGCTGCATTTATTTTTATTCAAAAGCTTATCTTTAGGGAATTTTCTTAGTAGTTTGGTGAAAAAGTAAAATTAGAAGAAAAATAGCATGCAAATGTAGCTTATCCATTCCCTGCAATGATGGCTTTTAAACCAATTTCTCCCAATATTTCAATGGCCTCAAGGAAGAGCAGGTAAATGGCACATCTAAAACTCTAAAAAAAAAATACACTGTTCTTGCTTTAAAGTACATTTGAAAAAATCCATAATGGATATAAAGCAGCATTTTATGAAATGTAAATAATACTCATCTTTGTATTGAGAGTAAATATAGAAACCTCACTGCAACAGTAATTTGTCTAAAATGTTTCAATTGCCTGAAAGTAAATCCTTATAATAAAACTGTTTCAATTAGACGTATATAGTATTTCTTACTCATGAAATGATGTAATTCTAGTTTTTTCTATATCTTCTATGTATTTTTTTATTACAAATCTTTAACATGTGCCAAAATTCCAAGGCTAAATGTATAGTCTAAGTTGTTTGTATCACACTTTAGTGGTCTAATACTTGTCACTAATTTTTGTTAGTTCTTATCTAATGTTATTTTCAGCTGCTGGCTCTCTCTTGAAGGAGGACTACTTTATGCTTTTGTGGGACCTGCAGCTGCTGTTGTCCTGGTAAACATTGAAATCAACTTATTTTGTTTTCTTAGGGAAAAAAAAGACTAATTTCTTTCAATCAGAGTGGCAATTTTGATAATGTAGTTCTTGTGTAGAAATTTTAAAGTTCGATGGACTATTATTCTGATTGAATATCAATTGCTATTCAGTCTTTTATTATTCTAAAATATTCATATTTTGAATACTGAAGAATATTAAACTGGGAGTGTGGTATTTCTCTTACAGTAATTTCAGATTTGTGAAGAAGTTTGAGTAAGTTTTAATGAATTCTTCCTCTTTAATATATAGAATCTCATCATTTACCATAATCTCACCTTTACAGTATTCTGTATAATACATATGGTTATTAATAGGGAAATCTCTTTAAGGCTGTCCCTGTCAAATATCTAAAGGAAATATATTCTCAACCTCAGTGATACTGACATTTTGGATCATATGTTTGTTTGTTGCAGAGGCTGTCTTGTGTGTTTTAGCAGGTTCAGCAACATCCTTCTTCTCTACATACTACATACCAGTAGTACCCCCTAGTCATAACACTCAAAAACATCTTCAGACATTTTCCGATGGTCCCTAGGGGTCAAAATCATCCCTGTTTAAGAATCACTGCCATATGTTATAGATAAGGATTTTAAATTTCTCTTTTGAAGCCACAAAATAATTGTTTAAAATTTTAAACTATGGTAATGTGAAATATTTCCTTCCAATTTGCCTTTCTCTTTCTCTGTTTGGATTTATTGATTACAAATTTTTCTTGCCCAGTGCATCTTTAAAGAAAATAAGGGAGGAAAGAAACAGTCTAAATTAAATACAAATATTCATATTGCTGTACAATTATATTTCTAATTGGAAAGTTACTCTTTGGTTTCTTGAGTGATTCATTCAAAAAATTGAAGCGTAGTGACATGCTACTAATTCTGATGTCAGTTTTTTCTTCCTTTAAGCTTGTTCTCCCTCCACTAAGCTGTAACAGGGAGCAGAAACTGTCTATAATTTGCAAGAAAAATAAAATCAAGGCAAGAATCTTAGAGCATAGGGAAATCAAAACTATTAGACACCTTTTTGTCTGCTGCATTGAATTTTTATTTAATCAACTGAATTATTTCCCTAAGCTTCTAGGTTAATGCCCATATAACACTAAAATGGAGAAACAAAGTATGTATATAATTGAAACACCAAAGTATGGTCTTTGGAGGGGTGACAAATTCCCTTATGATTAAGTTGTAGATTACTAGAATCCATAGAATACACTTTTTCTCTTAATTTAAATAATGAGAGTTACATAGATGAATAAGTATTCTCTTGATTAAATGGTGTCTTGTCAGGAAACTATGAAGAGTGACTCTTCCTAGGTCCATACTTAATAGGTATGTTTTGCGTCTTCCTTATATTAGCAACTGGACGCATTTTCGCTTTATATTCACCATCTTCATTGGCAGCAGGGCAGGGTTACACCAAGATTGGAAAGAGGCAAGAAAGGCAAAAAGAAGAACATATTTTTCATTTACTCATTGGACTGGATTCCCTGATCAGAAAGTGTTGGTAGATTAGAGAACTGTGGGGGCTCATGGTAAGCTGGTACGAATAGATATCTATGCAGTTTTTACAGTTCTACTTGAAAAAGGAAAAATAAGTGTGATTTCATTTTATGTCATGCAAAAGACTTTTTAACTGAGAATAAGAAAGTCTTAGAAAGAAAATGATAGAACTGTACACTAGAGCATATTTTAAAAATTAGCACTAGTGTCCATTGTGAAAAAGATTCTGGTGAATTGAATAGGCTTTCCTTTCTGCCTAGAAAAGCATAGTACATCAAAATGCTCCCCTTCCACAGAAGAGAATAACCACACAACATGAGGAATTTAGGCATTCTGTCCTGTGTGTTGGGAATAATGACAAATCATCAGCACCTTTTGCTGCCAGGGCTCACCCTAGCCTCATGCTCTACGATTCAGAATCTCCTGGCTCACGGGCATAGGGTAAAACTCATTTAGCCAAATGATTTTACTCAGGGTTGACTCAGACAGAAGAATGCCAGATTGGCATATATGGTACCATTTAAAAGTCAGGCAATTGAAGGTTAATTTCCCCAGTGTTAACTGCAAAGCATGGAAATTAAATGAACGTAATGTACTTTACAACTTTAAAGTAGCACACCACTGTTAAATTGTTCCATATGCCTCTGTGCACTTACAAAATGTTTGAGAGTGCTTCATACCACTACTACTGATACGGTGGTTATGAATTGATAAAAATAGGATTTTCAGGAGAAACAGGGACCTGATTCCCTTCAATATCATTGAAAGGTCAACTTTGTTTCTGTTTGACAGGTCAACATGGTGATTGGCATTTTGGTATTTAATAAACTTGTTTCCAGAGATGGAATCCTAGATAAAAAGCTCAAACACAGAGCCGGGTAAGCTGCGATTGGTGGATTTTGAAGGTTATTTACCAGTGAATCCCGTACTCCAATTTCAGACCATCACTGACTGCGTTGACTATGCCTTGAATTTTGTCATTGATGTACTAGTGTGTCCGGTAGATTCTGCCATATAAAAGTTTCCAATGTGCTATTTTTAAGTAATATGACCCAAAATCTAAAAATACTGTAACAGGCCATTAGGAAATTTGGAGTGTATTTGTGCATATTACCTGCTTGTCAGATAAGAACATTAAACGTTGAGGCTAGACTTACAATGGTTGTCGTTAGGTAAGGGTTTTCAAAGCCTTCCTCGTTTTGGTCACAAAGGTCAGGAGGTAAATTGAACACAGTGTTGGTATGTGACAGAGCAGAATCAAAACAAGCAAACCTAAACAGGGCAAAATACTATATTTTCTTTGACTAATTGTATATATCAGGAAAAAAAAATCTTTACTTGAAATAATCACTTATCAAGCACTATTTGTGTGTGTCTTATATTTTCATTCTTTATGACATTTTTAATCTAACTGGCTAAAAAGAGTTATTCAAAATTTTCACACTTTAACCTCTTATAAAACTTAGAAAAGCATCTCCCTTAATTTTACTGTTATTATAATATATAAATATCTGATGACTTATTATATATTATCATATGTATCTGGCTGGGCACGGTGGCTCACGCCTGTAATCCCAGCACTTTGGGAGGCCGAGGTGGGCGGATCACGACGTCAGGAGATCTAGACCATGGTGAAACCCAGTCTCTACTAAAAATACAGAAAAATTTGCGGGACGTGGTGACGGGTGCCTGTAGTCCCAGCTACTCGGGAGGCTGAGGCAGGAGAATGGCGGGAACCAGGGAGGTGGAGCTTGCAAAGAGCCGAGATCGCGCCACTGCACTCCAGCCTGGGTGACAGAGCAAGACTAGGTCTCAAAAAAAAAAAGTGTGTGTGTGTGTGTGTG